CAGCAAATTTTCCTGATTGCAAATCAGGTCCACTTTCAACATTTCCTATATGTGATCAATCCCTTCCATCACATCAACGTGCTGCTGATCTTATTAGTCGTCTGACAACAGCTGAAAAAATTACACAAATGATAACAACAGCAGAAGCTATACCTCGACTAGGCTTACCAAAATTTGAATGGTGGTCAGAAGCTTTACATGGTGTAGCATATTCACCTGGCGTTTCATTCGGTGGTGATCTACCAGCAGCAACCAGTTTTCCAATGCCTATCAATCTTGGTGCATCATTTAATATGAATCTTGTTTATCGTATGGCTAATATTATATCAACTGAAGCACGTGCATTTAATAATGAAGGTCGTGCTGGTTTAGTTTTCTTTACACCAAATATAAATATATTTCGTGATCCAAGATGGGGTCGTGGTCAAGAAACACCAGGTGAAGATCCATTTCTAACATCACAATATGTTTATGCACTAATTAATGGTTTACAACGTGGTGAAGATGAACGCTATCTAAAAATAGCTGCTGATTGTAAACATTATGCTGCATATGATTTAGAAGATTGGAATGGTACAGATCGTTTTCATTTTGATGCTCGTGTTAGTGATCAAGATCTTATTGAAACATACTTACCACCATTTGAAACTTGTATCCGTGATGCAAAAGTTGCAAGCATTATGTGTAGTTATAATGCAGTTAATGGTATTCCATCATGTGCAAATCAATTTATACTTGACACCATTGCACGGTAGGGAAATATTTTTTTAATAAAAAGCTTTTTTGACTAATTGTTCTGTTATTCATAGAGAATCATATCATCTAGATGGTTTCGTTGTTAGTGATTGTGGTGCTGTTGCAACAATTATGGATGGACATCATTATACATCTACAGTACAAGATACAGTTGCTGTTGCATTACATGCTGGTACAGATCTTAATTGTGGAGATTTTTATTCAAAACATACTCAAGAAGCATTAGATAATAAAACAATTGTTGAAGCTGATATTGATAAAGCACTTCAACGAACATTTAATATTCTTATTCGTCTTGGATATTTTGATCCACCTGAACAACAACCATATAGAAAACTTTCAAAACTAGATGTTGATACAGTAGAAGCTAGACGATTATCATTAGAAGCTGCACAAGAAAGTATTGTTTTATTAAAAAATATCAATAATGCATTACCATTAAATATCGATCAATTAAAAAATAAAAAAATTGCGTTGATTGGACCAACAGCAAATGCCACTGTGTTAATGCAAGGAAACTACTATGGACAAGCACCATTTCTCATTGATCCTATAACAGCATTTCAAGGAGTAACACAAGGTAATTATTAATTACATCCTTTTATATATTATTTTATTTTATTTTTTATGTCAGGTTATTCTATCAATATTTCATTTGCTTATGGTTGTAAAATATCTGATAGTGATCAAAGTGGTTTTGCTGCAGCTATTGAATTAGCACAATCATCTGATATTGTCATTTTCTTTGGTGGTATTGATCAATCTATTGAATCTGAAGATCATGATCGAACATCAATTACATTACCTGATATTCAATTAGCTTTGATAAAACAACTTGAAAAAGTTGTTCATTCATCTCTTCATGTTGTTATTATGTCTGGTAGTGGTCTTGATCTATCTTATGTACGTGATTCAAATCAATGTGAAAGTCTTATTTGGATGGGTTATGCTGGACAAGCTGGTGGTCTTGCTTTAGCTAATGTTATATTTGGTCAATATAATCCTGGTGGACGTTTACCAATAACAATTTATCCTGCATCATATGTTGATGCTGTTAGTATGTTGGACATGCAAATGCGACCATCATCAACAAATCCTGGTCGTACATATAAATTTTATACAGGACAAGCAGTTTTTGAATTTGGTTATGGTCTGTCATATACAAAATTCAATTATTCATGGTATAATGATTCAATGAATTCAATATATTCAATCAAATCTTTAATGAAAAATAATTATAATGAAAACAAAGTACTTGTTCATTTATATCGTGTTAATGTAACAAATATAGGTCCAATGGCAGGTGATGATGTTGTACTTGCATTTGTAACACCACCAAAAAAATCATTAAATGATCAAACACCACCAATTAAAAAGTTATTTGGTTTTGAACGTGTTCGATTAAATGTTGGGCAAACAACTCAAGTCTTTTTTCCATTAAATGTTCATTCATTATTAACAGTAACACGAGAAGGATCAAAATGGTTAGAACCAGGTTCATATAGAATTCTAGTTGGAAAACAACACATTCATACAATTCGTTTACAAGGAGATCCAGCTCGATGGTCTTAAACTTAAGCTTTATATAAACATAATTTTCTTTTTTTTTTTCTTTTTTTCAAATTTTTATGGAATAGAATCATTAGTAAGAAAAAAAAAAAGGGAGGAACAATATCTTTTTATTTTTGTTTCAAACATTCATTTTACATGCATTGTTCTAATTATAGTCATATGAGACGATAAGAAAAAGATAAGCTTTGCTGTCAAGTCATCATAGATGAAAAAGAAAGCATTATTTTTATTATATTATTATAGCTTATACATAATTACTTTTGTAATGCATTCACCATGCTATTCTGGAATACCTTAATAATTCTTGTTTTTTCTTTGTTCATCTCTGATCGGTATTATCCTCATTCTTTGTCGTTTACTATTTTTCCCCGTCTCATGATAGTATTGAAGTATCATTCAACTGTTTTTTATCAACTTATTCTACGAATATCCATATGAAAAGAGCATGATGTTAAATAAAGTCTTGTATCATTTATTTTACATATTCATGGAAATCTATCTGTACAATAAAATATTTCCTCGAACAATAAAATTTTGTGAAAAACTTTTCCCGCCATAAAATTCAAATCGAAAACGAGTTTTCGCATCTAAGATTTTATTTCAAAATAAAAAATCTCTAATCACTATTCAACACATAGCATATACATATTAAAAATCGCTACTATTTAATATCGTTTCGTTGAAGTAATCTTGTTTCTTAAGCTTTTCGGAAACGATTTAAACTGACCGAACAAGAAAAATAGGTTTCCAACTATCATGTAACTGTCATTCAGTGGAACTAGGTCTACTCGAACCGACCGAAACCCGAATTATTTATTCAAAAGAGAATCTGAACTAAACTTGAATCAATTAAAAATGGTTTGATTCGGTCACTGATGGCAATATATTAGTCAGCCTAGTGGTAGTGCAGGCATGCGCACATACATTGACAACTGTAAATAGCAACAGAGGAAAAAGCGGCAAATAATTGCATTCCATTAGAGAAAACAAAAGAAAGAAAAGAGGAAAACAAAAATAGTGCATGTTGTATCATGAATAAACACGAAGGGACCGGATGCAAGAATTGGTAAGATGTAAGATGTATGATGAATGTAAACAAAGGTAGACGATAACGACACTACGATAAAGACACAGGTGAGTCTTTCAAACGTTTAATAAAAAGAAAGGAGAAAAGACAAGCAATAGTATCGTTGTACATATAAATAAACCGAGACTTCTTTGGAAAATTTTTCATCTTTCTTCAAGAAATAAAATATTTGTCAAAATACTGTTCTCCTATGCCATTAAGTTTTCAAAAATTTCGCTAATCGATCGTTTGAGGACACAGGTAGATTCTGCTCGCCTGAGAAAGTGTATGTTTACACTTAGTTTCTGTCATCAAACTGTATAAAAATTAGGTTTTTTCACAATATAAAAAAAAATAAAAACTATATAAGTAAACACAAAATCAAGATAAAGAAACAGAAGCTATATCTAACGAATGATGGAGCTAGGCATAATAAATCATAATCTACTATCATCTTAACATACTTTTAAGTATTGTACTTTGTACAGCTTTTAAGGATCTGGAACCAAAATATGAATTCCTTCATCAAAGTACACATAGTACAGTTTCTTTTTATGATTAATTTGTGAAACACTGTATTTCAGAATTAACATATGCTCTGTACATTTTGCGTCTGCTGGATATATTTACTATTGGAAAAGTTGACCCTGTGAAGTGCCTTTTGTTGAATATCAATCTCACATATATAAACATATCCGTATTCTGAACTTGAATGTTGTTTTTACACTACCTATTGTTACGTTAACCTCTTTTGAAAGAGCACACGTTCATTTTTTTTTGTTCCTCTCTTCGCTTCGTAATTTCTGGCTAAGGCACTGAAACTGCTGTGCATTATTTTTTATAAATGGATATATCAAGGAAAACAATGACATCACAATATTTTACATCAAATAAAACATCCAATTAACTAATGATAATAAAGAAACGAAAAACAAAGAACATCTAAATGATTATTTGACAAACATGGTAAAGGAAAATTGTGAAGTTTCGACTTAATAAAATTAGATGAATATACTACTCTCTTATATATTTATTGACTAGTCGAAGTTTTCCTTGCATTTCTCAAATGCCTCCAAGTTATGCTGAAAATTTCTGATTTCGATGCATTACTTTTTGTTTTAAACAAAATCTTAAGATCTCCTTTGAAATGTAATCTTCAATTGATGATGACCATACGTTTGCATCATATCCTTATAATAATGTAAAATAGTTCGTGGATCACAAATATAACTCAATCAATTATCTCAGACATATTACTAATGAACTGATAA